TGGCTAATCCACAATTGCATTAATAAAAAAAGATGCTTGACAAACATTCGATGAAACTATCCGCAGAAACCATCAATTTCTATATTCTGTAATTAAAGTACACAGTTCAAACATTTCGCTCAAATATATAAAAAAATATAATAAGAACCCTTATCATGCAAACAACAAGCTATTCAAACAGGTATAATTCACGGGAAATTCAAAGCACAATGCAAAATGGGTCCAACACTGTTTGTTATTCATTTAAACCTCGCAATACCTATTATATAAATCATAGTATACAAACATAAAAGTGAGATAACAAGACAACCTGAAGAAATCGTATAGTCGCCGAGAGAGCCAGAGTTCAACTCTACCAAAGGTCAGTTTCGAACTGCATTCTAAGGATTTAAACCTCATTTATGTATACATATCAGGGTAACAAAAAGATGGGAAGAACAATGACAAGCAATTGCATGGTAGTCGTAATAACATGAGCTGCCTTGAGTGAAGGTGTGCACAGAAAGCTTTCAGCTGTGGTAGGTGGAATGTTTCAGGCATATGAAGGAGCCAAACATTCATCGACCATATCCACCAGGTTTGGGTTTTCCAATGCTGCAGCTACTCGCTCTTTATCATTTAGTTGTTTATTAACTGCACAAAAAATAGATTAGGATAGAAAACAAATGCCGTTTTATAATTCATATGCACTTTTATCAAGATAGAGTTTGCATGCCACCTACAAGGCAAAAGAAGGAAGCATACATCACAGGAGTTCTAAGAAAAAATGATGCTACTCAGTAATCCAGGAAGTGCTCTGTGAAGACTCCCACAACTCATGTTTCAAGAGCTTGTTAGGTCACAGAAATAAGGAGGTGAAAGAAAAAAGGAAAAAGAAAATTGGTTGTCATTATTTCTGGACGCCAGATATTTGATTAAGGATTCAAAACCAATGCCTGTAGTATATACAGCACCTCAGGCTTCAAAACATTAGCTTCATGGTACGTAAGATGAAGACACCACCATATGGCTTTTATTGTTTGGATAGGGAAAGAAATTCTAACGAAAAGGGAAGGAAAAGATGCACAACACAGAATAAGGAAACAAATGGTGGCAAATCTATCACAGGCATTTGAACTTCCACCCAGCCACAAATTAAAAGCACCCAACAGCTGTTTCCCTCCACCCCAAGATAGAGTGATTACCTGCAGATTCAGTTGCATGAGTTCCTGGGGCAACCCTGATATCCACCTAAACAACATTGGGAAATATTGGTGAGAAGGAGAGGAGATATTGGTGAGAAGGAGAGGAGAAAAGGCAGAGGGAGATGCACTACAATTACAAGTATAAGAGTGTCAAAAAGTTTAAGAATTCTTGGGCCAAAAGTAGCTGTTAAGACCAGCACTACAACACTACAATTAGAAGTATCAGATAAAATTCAAAGTTATCAACAAAACATTGATTTGGGATGCTCCAACCACATATCGTTTCCAGAGTCCAAGTCATATAGGAATTAAATAAGCTCCAGCATGCACTTAAACGATCCCTAACTGGCCAACTCCATCAATTATAAATTAGCGTTGATGGATGAATTAAATGTTTTCTAATGTATGCAGATAATCTGTGATGTTCAATCCATTTTAGGACATAATGGTCACTAAGAAATCATTGCTTTATCAAATCATTTCAGGACACTTTTTCAAGCGGTAAGAAATCTTTCAAGGGAGTAATGAGTAGGGTTTGTGGAACAAAACTTCCTTTATATAACTATTCAAGGGAGTAATGAGTAGGGCTTGTGGAACAAAACTTCCTTTATATAACTATAAAGCATAATGTTGACAGTGCAAACCGGAAAACTTTGTCATCTACTTTATCTTAGTCTATTATGCCCCCCCATTCCTGGTGCTGGTGAATCACACAACTACAGTGCTCGCATATTGTTTTGCTTCAAGCCAGTCAAGTAGGCATTCGCAAATTACTCCAGATATATTGGGGGAGAGCTCAAAATTTCATAAATAAATAACAGACACAAAATGCCATAACATAAAGAATGACAGGAAATCAACTTAAGCAATTATGTGCCTAACATTCCCAACAATACAAAGTCACCAAGCTTTTATACATGCGCCTAGTTGTGTATTCCAGCGACTTCAACAATATATCTATCCTCAACCTAAGTTCATAAAAAAAAGAGGAATATCTCAGTATGAATGGCTATTCATGTTATCGGGGGAAGTGGTATGTCATTGCAACATCCATTAAAGGATCTTAAACAATACTGCCAATCACAACTTATGGTCTGCCTCTGCTACAGAAATAGATAACAAAGCTGAAAACCCAGTTAACAAATACCTTGTAACGTTGTGGCAGGCTTCTCATAAGTTTCACTCTCAAGCAAAGACCAATGACTGTTGCCATGCTACAATGTTCAACTGTTGGAGTGAATGTCACCCTGAATAAGAGAAATCTCATAAATTTTTATTTGAATTTCAGTTATATATTAAAAGGAAGGCCAATGAAGTAGGAATAAATAGAATTGAGACCACAGGCATTGTTACCTGACATAACTGTGATTGTCATCTACTTCAATCGCATCCTCCGTTACCACTTTAAGCTCTTCCAAAGAGTAAGGATGCTCCGGATCCTTTATGTCTCTAATATGATTTGAGAATGTCAAGAAAATAAACACTCTAACAAATCTTGCTTCAAACTACCGAAAACATCAATCCTTTCTGCATTTCTTAGCATTGCTTGCGCTCACTCCTCACCACCGACAGCAACATATTTTTTCATGTAGCGTACTTGGGGTTAATTCTTACACTGACTAGCCCCATTCCCGGACAAAAAAAAAATCATCAAATCTTTTTTCTTTGGAAGCAATAATATTTTGATCGCTTTTGAACCAAACATAAGAAGAACGCCCAGAAAAAAGGGGGAAAAAACTAAACTTTAGAATTGAATTAAGAAAAATTAATGAAAAGGATATCAAAAACTTCAAGTTGATCAATAGGCTCAACAGCATGCTCATCATCACCAACACTTGGAGAACTTCGAACCCGTCTCTCCTTCTTCTCATAAATTACTGGATTGGCGTTGATTAGCCCAGAGACCATTTCTTTTCTTCTTCTTCTTTTTCCTTCTTATGCCAAAAAACCAGAAACAAGAAACAGAATAATACAATACTTTACGTAAATAGTAACCAACACCCAAACAAATTCAGAAAGAGAAAGAGATAATCGACAGAGGATGCTGATGATTTTTCCTAGACCTCCTCTGCAGGCTGAAGCGGTGAAACCTTTATGGCTTTCTTAACTCTTTCACGGCACTGTTTGTTCTAGTTATGGGTTGGGCCAAACCCTTGTTTGGGCTCATGACGAATTCTAGCACGTTCTGCAATGGCGGAATAAATAAATAAAAAGTATAATTATATCGATCGTTTTTTTTTTTAATTTGAAAAATAAAACCTTACACTTACATCTTGGGTCAATCAATTTTCATAAAATAACTAAATCATCCTTATATATAATAATATATTAAATTTCCCAAAGCCACTTCTTCCTTTTCCTGCATGGAGTCACTTCGTTTTGTCATTCAAAAAAAGAAAAGCAAAAGAGAGAAAACTATTTTTTTTCAAATTGTAAATAAATCGAAATAGTGAACAATGATTGGTTTATTAAGAGAATAGTTATAAACATAAGAATGTTTTTTTTTTAAATTTCATAATTTATACAAGTTTAAATTTAAAAAAATTTCATAATTTATACAAGTTTAAATTTAAATTTATAAGTAAACAAATTAATAATTCATAGCAAATATGCTTTCAACTCAAATATAAAATAAAATAATAACATGCATGCTAATTATGTATCCAAATTTATAATTGATATTAATTTAAAGTTGTAGCATAGATAAACTTGTTAAAACATTTTAAAATAATAAATCTTTTATTATTGTCAATGATAAATTATTTATTTTTAAAGTTTTATTATTAATAACTTGTACAATTATAATGCTTTTAATATGTCTTTTAAGATCCCAGCACTACCATTTTTATTTAGAAGGTCTTTGAATTAAAAATTACACAATTTAAATATTTCATTATAAGATAAATTTAAATTCTTAAGGGAAAATCAAAATATAAAAAAAGAATAAAATATTAAAATTAAAAATTAAAAATGATACATAAAAAATTAAAAAGAATCAAGCGAAAGCAAACCCTTAATCAATAAAAGAGGCACCAGAAAAAAAAAACTAAACATTGTTTGAAACTTTTCATTCATCATCTTTTTTATAGTTAATTTTGAAAATTAAAAAGTTAAAGAATTAATTATGTTAAAAATTATAATTAATTCTTATATTACCAACCTTTCATTAATTATCATACATTAAGAATTAAATATGAATATAATGGTTATAAATCTATATTTTTTAAGCTTAAAAAATTATCCACATTTGCTAGGAAGAGACTATTATCACTTACGTGGTAGGCTTGACAAACAATGGAATGATCAAATTTTAGATGGTAAAAAAAAAGTTGTCTACCCTCTTAATAAAACCAAAAAATAATATTTTTTTTCTTTGGGTTTTTTTGGCACTTTAAGAAAAATCTATTAGATTCACTTACTATTTTATTTTAACAAGATTCTTAAATATTATGATAAATTTTTATTTGAATCTTCATAATTTTATTTTCAATTATTATATATATGATATGAGAATAATAATATTAATAATAAATTGTTCATAAGAATTCAATTCAAATCAATTTTTTATTCTTAAAATTTAAAATAGATTTTGAACATGATTTTGTTATATTTATAATCCTTTTAGCTTATAGTCACACATAAAATATTAACAAACTATTTTTATTTTTTGTTAACTTGATGTTACAAATATGAAATAATTTTTTAATAGAAAGAACAATTACGGTTAAAAACTTTGTATTTGCTAAGATAAACAATAGCTTCTGGTTGATTTAAGTTCTTCAATAATATATATATATATATCTGCACATGCGCGAGCTAGGACAATACTTTAGTCTCTTAATTAAATTTAAATATATGCTTAGTTTTGTTTGTAAGATTTCCATGATATAATATATTCCATAATTATAGATCAAACTTGGAAAACTAATTTGATTAGTATGCTTTTGTAATTGTAATTAGAGGAGAATGCCACCATTTCTAACACCTGCAAAGTCAGCCCTCTTGATCAGCAGGATGTGACAGAAAATTTGTAGCCAGGAATGAGGCTTCTAGGAAGTTTCTCCACCTAACATGGAGGAAACCTGTGCTCTTTTTCGTGGATATGGACACTCTTATGTTGTCTAATCAACGGTCACACTTGAGAGTTGAGACTGTTCATAGATTCTTCTAGCGAAATGAACAGATTCACAAGTACCTGACTCAAACAAACAATTTAGTACAGCCAATTTTAATTACTTCTGTGTTAGATCACCCATGATTATTTATTTTATTAGGACATCAAATTGAAATCTTAGCTTCAGTACTGTTGTTGCCATTCAAAAAGCAGTTAAAATCGAAGTTTCATATTCAAATCCGAGGATAGATGGTCTCAAGGTTTATGGAACTTCGATGTTCTGCTGCAACGTCACTATATATCTAGCTCTTTGCCTGGCCAATCACCACCTACCTCCTAGGATACCATTTCCACTTTTAAGTGAGATTTATCCAAACCCCATATCTGCTTTGGAGAGACTTCTGCTTTTTCTGAGCATTTCTTCAATGTATCGTAAGCTATGAAGATCCCTAAGCTGGTGTTCTCCTTCCTTCTCTTTGCCTTGACAGCAATATCATTTCAAAGGACCATTGATGCTCAAGGTCCCAAAGACGCGGTGGTTGATTCAAATGACAACGAGGTTTTCCTGGGTTTAGATTATTACATCGCAGTCACCAGTCCATTTGACGGGATGTCTCTAGCCATGGAAGCCAGCTGCCCACCTCCTGTTGTGCACAGGAACAATCTCTCTTTGCTTCCGATAAAATTCTCATCGGTGGTTGATTCCAATGACAATGTGGTCCGAGAAGACACTAGTCTGAACTTGGAGTTCAATGTCCAGCTCAACAACAGTGATTGTAACGTGCCGACCACTTGGAAAGTTGAGTTCAATGCATCCATGCAACAATGGCTGGTTATGATCGGTGGGGATCGAAGTCATAATCGGTTTCAGATTGCCAAGGCATGCCCATATAGAAAATATTTCTATCAGCTTCGTTACTGCCCGGTTCTCGGGTTCATCCAATTCCCATGCGTTACAGTTCGCTCTCTTTTCAAGAATGGATTAAACTATCTGGCTCTCAATGGCGATCCTATAGCAATTGTGCTGGGGCAGCTTGCATCTTCAACATGATGCTGTTCTAGAATATTACTATCTTCAAACTTCGGAACAGGGGGCTGCATAGCTAGGATACAATTTTGTTGGGGGCCAGGGGACCTGGCTGGAAGTACTCTTTAATAAATAAATTCCACGTTTTTGCATTTGCTGTGGTCGATCAAAAATCTTCTGTGAGCCGTTCTATTTTCTTTGGTTTGAATTAAAACTTGTCCTGGTTGCCATAATTCGTAACTTAAAACAAGTGGTTCTTTGCAGTAATCTGGTAAATTTGGCTCTTTAAAACGGCTGTTGTTTTCCATTGAAGTGCCTCGGTCCTAATCCAGAGCACCGATACCGTGCAATCCTACAAACTTACTTGATCTTCAAATCATGGAATCGTGTTGTTGATTAACAAATATTAAGAAATCAATACCATGCTGGCGCTTCCCATGAGATGGCTTCAATGGAACACAAATGGCTCTTCTCTAGATTATAAGCCAAGGCATGCCGGTGTTGGTTAATGTTTTAGGTGGTAGAGACCGGTTGTCGTCTTCTTGAGGCTTTGAAACGGGGTGAGCCTTGTGGATCCTAAATTGCAGCTGCTGTTGCAGGGTTAAACGAGGTCGTTTGTTCGTCCTGACCACCACTGAGCCACACCGTTATACTGAATTTTAATAGCATATTTGAAAGTATAGTAGTTATTATTTTTTAAAATATTTTTAATATTAATATATTAAAATAATCTAAAAATATAAAATAAAAATTAATTTCAAATAAAAAATATTCAAAACTTATAAAAAAACATTTGTATACCCAAAAATAAACAGCGCACAAGGTACCCACCACAAGGCCCATGCCTTCTGTTCAGGACACAGACAGCATAATTTTAAGACTATAATGTACCTGCCACTCGACACAATCAGAGTGACATTATTCACAGCACAAAATATTCTGCAGCATTAAATTAAAATTAAAAGAAACACTGTAGCAAATTTTAGTTATAGATTTAATTTAAATAGTAAAATTATAATTTTTTCCTAATTAACTCAATACAATTGGCAACAGAGTATAGTGGTTTTTCGGTTACTTTTTACATAGTAAAGAGATTGATTTGAGATAAAAATAAAATATATGTTTTATTTTTTTCAATAATCAAATTGTCATTGACATCTAATTGCCTTAAATTTGAGTAATGTTGGTTTTTTGGTACTTTCCTTATGGTTGTTATGTTATTATTGAGTTTGGTTAAATGCAATTTAATATTTTGATATATATAAAATATTATTTAATTTTAAAAAATGAGTTGCATGTGAATATCACGTGGACATGTTGGTGTGCCCCGCTTTTTTTAAATAATGTATATGGCATTCTTTAATGATCAAATTCTATCTTCCATGATAATATTTTTATTTTCACAACATTTTTTTTATTAGTGAACAGTACATGTTGCTAAAATATATTGGGTTTTGTGATGGTGGATGCCTTTTTTTTATTATTATTATTTTCCTCTCTTCTCCTCATTTTTTAAGTTTTTCCTTATATGTTTTCAAAGCAATCATTCAATCTGTTTTTTTTTTTAAATTTGGTTTTTATTTTTTTCATGTTATTTGTTTTAGTTTATGTAATTTATATAATTGGAAATTTCTTTCAATTTAATCCTCCTATAACTTTTTTTTCACATTTTAGATTTTGTCTTTAGTCTTGATTGCATTTTTTTTTTACTTTTAATCATTCTCTTCATTATTTTTTTTCTTATCACACCTTTTAATATTTTATATAATCATCTTAACTGAATTATTTTTTCATTAACACCCCTCAATATTTTATATAATTCTTTTAATTAAATTATTTTTTTAATTGCATCCCTCAATATTTTATTTTATATCAAGTTTGATTTTAATTTTTTAATTGTTATTTAATTTGTTTTAATCCTTTTTTATTGAGACTTTATTTTTTTAATTTCATTATTCTGCAATTTATTGATCAAGATTTTGTTAACCTGAAATTTTATTTTATGATTTTTTTGGGTTTGTCTTATGATCCAGATCATAGATTTGAGGGGTTGATTTAATTTTTTTTTAAAATTGATTTTTTTAATTTTATCTTTCAATATTAAGTTAATTGAGAATTAGATTTTTTTATTTGTTTTGATTTTCTTTATATGAAGTTATCATTATCTCATGATTTTTGGTCACGGGTTTTGTAGGTTAACTTGAGATGTTTTTCATGTCCATCTTTTAATTGAATATTTTACAATTTTATTTTTCCACACTAAGTTAATTAAGAATTAAGTTTTATAAATTGTTTCAATTTTTTTTATTTAATTATCCTAATCTCATAATTTGGGTTTCAAGTTGGACAGGTTAACTTGAATTGACACAAATCATTATTTTGGATTTTTTTAATTAATTGTTTTTAAATTTATTCTTCATTATTTGTTTTATTATAAATTCATTTTCATAATTTATTTTATATAAGGTTATTATAGTTTTATAACTCGACATACAAATTAATAGACTAATATAGTTAATCCAAATTAATTCAATATATTATCATCTTAATATTTATATAAAAAAATATTTGCCCTTGTTGTGCTGTGCTGTGTAATCCGTTGTCCTTGTGAAGTTAAACAAAGCAATTAGAATGTTTAGTTACAGACTACGGTGCTGGATCATAAAAATAAAAATTAATTTCAAATAATTAGTTACAGACTACGGTGCTGGATCATAACGGATAATACAAGAAGTTTGCTGGATCAATTTGGTGTTGGATCATATAATATGATACAAGAAGCTTGCTGGATCAAAACGAAGCGCCCGAGACTTACTGGGTCGTGTAGACAATAATGCTTCTTCTGCAAATCCATTTGATGCATTAGGATTAGGAGGCTGTCTTGTATTTAGAGGTAGCCAGTGTGTTGCTTTTGTATCATTAGTGCCAGAAAAACAAAGCATTCGCAGATATTAACCATTCACCAACAATTCAGAAGGCAAAAGAACGCATCACCACGAATGACAAGAATTGTTCTTGAGAAACAAGAATATACTTTGTTCCTCAAAAATGTTATCAGCTTGCAAGGAAGTTTCAGCGTAAACCATTTGCCTAACGATAGCATTCTGATTCAGCGGTACAACCCAATGGCATGTGTACCAATCAACTTCATGCCCACGACCGACGTCATGGCCTGCGCAATAACAACAGTATATTTATTAGGATTACACAGTTCCTTGTTGCCAAGGGATTCGAGTAACCGGTAACCTCACAACTATTTGAGCAGATAACGACCGTCCACACTGAGTTATGTAGTTTTCTATGGCTTCTTTTTTGGTGCCTTGGCTGCTGTAATTTTTTTTCATTCATCTCCCGGCAACAATTGACATCTGAGTTTAGGAGCAGTGAAGTTGTGACTGGTCAAAAGTCAATTACTTGTCTGCATATTCTGCAGCAGTTTTTGCATGAGGTCCATCTTGACCTGTTGTTAAATATTATGACAGTTTGCAAACTAGCTGAAATAGCAAAACCAGTGACTATGACAACAGAGTTGTTTAGTTAAGTTGCCATTCTCTCATCTAGCAAATCACCTGCGACCTGCAAATTCTCAAAAGCAGCTACAGTATCTGCAGAATGATCAATCAACAGAGCAATCGAGTGCTCCAGCAGTAACCCGGAATTGATATTAGGCTAGTAAGTTCAACAGGCTAATGTCTGAAAGCTGTAAATAACTTTGTAACTTAGAAAGCTTGAGGACATCAGTTTCTCAAACCTCCACATAAAATCCACAAGTTTGCAACAGAACAAAGTGGATTAAGCCTCGCATTTGATTGCTGGTAGGATGAACTTGGCTAAATGCAACTGCCAGCTTCTTTTTGTTGGATGGAGGATCCTCTTAATAAGAGAAAGCAAAGGCTAAAGAACCAATCGAAAAACAATGATCAATTGTTAGAAAGGAATACAAAAGAGATTTTGAACTCTATCAAATCTGAAATCTTCATCAATAGATGTTGCACATATAGCAGACTGTAAATGCGGAGCTTGCAATCTGAAGAGAAAGAATGACATAGCAAGTGATTTGACAAGAGCATGTTAAATAGTGAAAAAGTCAAGGTGAGAGTGATGTGCTTAAGTTTATGTCCAGACAAGGGCAATATTACAAGTTACAACCCCATTCCCATCCACAGAATGCAATCTGCAAATAGAAAAATCGATGGTACCTTTTCAAATTTCCTTTGAGGATTATGGAAGCCCTTTTCCATAGATCATAGAAGCCTAAAAATGTTAACTACGCACATGCGTAAATGTAAACAAAAATGCGTGTGCTTTATGCTCGTCATAGCATGGCATCTCATTCGGGTGCTTTTTTTTTTTTTTATATGACCCAACCAAGAAATAAAACATGACCATGTATTAAGAAAAATCATTGAACCTAGAAATTCAGCAAACCTAAGAGTATAGATACCAGGGGACAGCGCATACTTGTGGCTGCGTTCATGGACAGATGGACCACCAATCTAAACACAAACTACATATTCGACTGCAACCAATCCATACATGAGGGCTATCATACTTACCTATATAGATCATCAAAAATATCTGAAGTTTGTCTTTCAGTTTTCAATAATTTCCTCTAAATCGTGAGCTTAAACCCATTGTTAGTTGGTCCTTTAAACCATGAGGTACTTGTGCCTTAGTTACTTGTGTGCTGCACTCCCACACTCACTTGTGTTTGGAGTTATAACCAAGTTAATTTTTTTAACAAAATTACTAATGTAAATGATCAGACCAGAATAGGCAGTCATGATTACAGAAAACACAAGAAGTGATCAGTTGCATAATTACCTCGCAGGGTATTTAATTTACATCCATATATTTTCTACCTCAATCCCTGAATCAGAAAAGAAGAGCTATCATAAAGCATGTCAGTTTTCCCTACTCAATGTCAGCTTCCCCACCAATAGTAAGCAAATTTGAAGGAAGTGAAGCAGGATCAAGTTCCCAACAGTCCTTTAAATTGTCAGCAACCTCGTCACCAGAAAACTTCCTTGAAGGAATCTGATGTGAAAACAACCAAATATCATCTTTTTCAACCAATCTAATTGCATGGCACCCAATCTCTCGTCTCTTAAATACAGTCTTGTACCCATCAACCTTCTCAAGGTAGGCCATGCTCAATCCATGCATCTCACTGTACGTGGTTAACAACACAACAATGTCATGGCATCGCTCATCACTAGCGGACAGATTTGTTCCTTCAGCACCTAAAGTTGCTTCATTATAAAGTGCCCACACAGAACCCTTCTTAGGATAAATCCTATAAACTTCCCTTGCTTCCCTTTCACATTCCACAGCATGTGAAAAGATGTTAACAGAGTCAATTATCATCGTCCTGGCAACCTTAAATCTACCACAAGATACATTAAGTCCCATTTTCTCCCAAATTAACACCTCGTCTCCATACCTTTGAAGATCCAACCAACTCAAGTTCACCTTAAAGGGATTCACTGAAACAACTTCATCAATCAAACCATAATGTCTCGGCATTCCATCATCGTCATAAATAGCCCAAACTTGCCCTTTCTTAAACCTCCTCTCCACTCTATCACTATCAAAATCAAAGAAATTTGAATACTCCACTGCCATGCTGTCCAAATCCCCCCTTGAATTCTTGTGCCTCTCCATTTGCAAACTCGCACTCTTCCTTGATGCTCCTTGCCTCATGATTTCCATTTTTCTACTTGTCTTTACACCTTCCCTTGTCTTGATTTCCGTATCCCCACTCTTCTTTGATGCTCCACCTTTTTCAGTCTCCAAATCCGTGTTCTTGTTCAAGACTAGACATGTTTCCTTCCCCTTCCCCTTCCCCTTCTCCATCACCTTCTGCTTCTCCTTCTTCTTCTCCTTTTCTCCAACATCCTTTTGCTTCTTCTCCTTCAATTCCACCTTCTTTTGACTAGCCTTTTTCTTTGCTTCCAACTTCATTTCTGCTAATGTCATCGTTTCATCAGAAAACTTCACCCTCTTCTTTGATCTCTCCAAAACCTCACCAACAGTACTCGTTCTCCTCCTCAAACCCCCGGTCCTCAATTTCCCACCACCCCATTCTCCAGAAATTACTTCATTCCCCTTCAAATTCAGGCCTCCTGCACTTTCAGCATCCAATTCTCTCCTCGACCCCGCACTGACCCCTTCCCCGGAACTCAAACCCCCAATTCCCTTACCACCAATATCTTTCCTCCTTAGCCTCTCACTCCAAACTCCAACCTCAGCATCCTTTTTATCCCCTCCTTTTACCTCAACAGCCTCGAAACTCTTCTTACAACTAGGACACACCAAATTATGCCCCAAATACTGTCTCTCAAACTGATGCAAAAGCCTACACCGCGAACAGGCAGTCCAAAAGGTCTCCACAGCAGAATTATCACTAACCCTCTCGTCCTGAAGCCGTATCCTCAACCTCAAATCATACTCTTTCCTCCTAATCTTATCAGACAAGACTCTAAACCCCTCAGCAACAAGCTTAAATGCCTCTTCGCATCCTAAAAATGGGTTCTTATCAGGGTGTAAGACTAAAGCTAGTTTCTTGTATTGTTTCTTAATAGTGTTCATATGAGAGAAGGGTTCTACCTGGAGAATCTTGTACCAGTCAGTGATGTCTGAATTTTGGGTCTTGGAGGCGATACGGAGAGTCTTCAAGGCTGTCAGCATTGAAGAGAGACCTTCGAGTTTTGGCGAGAGACGGTGGGCTTTCTTGGCGTGCTTGAGGGCTGATTTGAGGTTGGAGTTGGTAAATTTAGTCTCTGCTATTGTTTTGAGACGCCTTGCTTCTTCTTCTTGATCTGCCTTTGTTCCCATTGATTTTTGGCACACGGAAAAAAGAAGGTTGAGAGAAAGAGGAAAGAAAATGGGTAGGGAGGGTTTTAGCTTCTGTTTTTTTTTTTTTTCTTTACTTTCCTTTTATTCAATCAATGAAACCAAAGCCACGACAGAAACAAAAGAAAACGTCGAACAAACACCAGTCTCGCCACAAGTAAATACAGTAGCTGGTTTTTTTTTTTTGTAGGTTTTGAGTTACTAACGGTTAAATGGGCTGGGCTTTGATTATTCGTATGCAGGAAGCAGATGGTACATGCCATTCCAAAGCCGAACCCATAAAAAGGCAGATAAAGATTGGTGGCCTCGGCCCATACACATCCAAGACCGAAAACTTTAAAAATAGATGGTGATCATTTTTTGTTTTGTTTTATTTTTATAACAAGATAATTAAACTAAATTAAAAAAAATTAAAATTTGCTTTGGTTTTAATTTTATAAAAAAATAATAAAATTAAATTAAAAAAAATTAAAACTAGTTAATAATTAAAAAAATTAAAATTTGGTTTGGTTTTAATTTTATAAAAAAATAATCAAATTAAATTAAAAAAAATTAAAACTAGTTCAAACTGATCTATTTCAGTTCGGTTCAGTTTTTTAATATAAAAACCTAGTTCAAATTGGTTTGGTTTGATTTTTTTCAGTTTTGGCTCAGTTTGGATCTCTTTTTATTTAACTAGGATTTTTTCAGACTTTTTCAGTTTAAGTTTTTTGATTTTCTCAACTTAATTAATTTTTTAATTTTTTTTGCTCACGACTAGGATTTTTTCAGATTTTTTCAGTTTAAGTTTTCTGATTTTCTCAATTTAATTAATTTTTTAATTTTTTTTGCTCACCCCTACTATCTATCTATGAATGTAGAAACTACTAGTTTATATTATTGTGTTCTAGATTGGATTAAAAAATAAATATATGAAATTATTTGATGTTATTATTAAATTTGTTATAGCATGTTAATCTTGAAATTTCACAATTCAATTCCTTGCATAATTCAAGTTGAAAATTAAACTATAAAAATTGCTTTTATTGAATATACTCGAAATGAAGGTTAAAGAGAAATAACAAGGATGTTCTTAGTATGGACTATAATGGATGAAAATAAAGGTTACTCAATCAAGTGTGGATTCAAATAAGAAAGTACAAACACTTATTGTTATGAATGATTGGAAGATATTCGGTGTAAAACTCATGGTTTTAGAAGTATGTATGATAGGAGCTCTAAGAAAGGATTTGCATGTTTCTCTATAGGTTATTATGCATATGGTTCGAGTGACTAGTTTTTCAATATATATATGTTATTTAATCATTATCTTTATTCCTACATCATCTTAAAAAAAAATAGTTAGGCAAATACGAACCTCTTCATATCTCAGTTGATGGGAAACTTCAAGCTATTAGTAAGAGCTTGGAGAATTCTTCGCAATGAAAACAATGAGGAAAAGTAGAGAAGCGAAATAACTCGATCAAAACGAGAGCCAACTCGATGTTGGCAATTTAAAAGAAGCAGCAGCATCATCAGGTGGTTGTCATGTTCGAGTGAAGGATTTGAGTTTGACAGCTTTGCAAGAAAGAGAGCTGAACAAGATGAAAAATAATACATGCTACAAAGTTTGGTTTTTTTTCTTTCTTTGTTTGTTATTTTTTTATATGGAATCGTGTTTTGAAAAGAATAAGCTCTTTAATTATTATTTCAAATACAATAACAGTCTCGGAAATAAATATATGTTTTTCATTGACTTTATAAAGTATTATCCTCAATTTTCAGGTTATCAAGTGTAATATTTTAAAACTTGATTGCAAAGTAAAAAAGAATAACCAAATTATAGAATACTTAAAGTAATTTGCCCTTTGAAAAATGAAAAATTTGAATAGTTTTCTGAAATAAATTTCAAAAAAAATTACATTAAGGTAAAGTCCCCGCAACAAAGCAACCTTAACGAGTTTGCAACAAGAGCTTCCAGCATGCATGCACCAATGTTGTCGACAAATTTGCTCGATCAAAGCAACACATCCGTTGCGTAGACAAATGCTTGTCTTGTAAATCAAATCCACAAGGCAAAAGTACATATTGACCGAAGGACAACAGCGTCAATGAAAAGTCCTTCACAAATAAGAATATTTTTGTTCCTCACATTTAACAACTTGCACTGATGTTTTCAGCTTAAACCATTAAGCTTCTAACACGTCAATTCGGGGTAGGCTTAATTTAACAGATATTAAGCCAATCGGGAATCCAATATCTAGTCGGAATGGGCTTACATTTTCCCGAACAATGTCACCGATTGAAGCATAAGAATCAGATGGCCCTTCACTTGGAGGCCGGTTACTTCCAGCCAACGACCAGCCCATGCCCCATGCAATAACAATACACGTTATTTTGCTCATATGATGCTCGTTCTTGCCAATGGATTCCAGAAACGGGCAATATCACAGATATTTGAGCATACCGCGACCTTCCACGCTAAGCTTCGTAGCTTGCAATTGCTTCTTTTTTGGTCCCTTTAGCTGCTGCAACTTTTTATTCATCTGCCAGTAACAATTGACATTTAAGTTTAGAAACAGTAAATTTGGAAATCTCGGTATCTTTGAAACACAAGCATGGGTGCATACTGCAAACTCAAGAACATGGAACCATCGATTGACCTTTCCAAGGAGTCTCCTTTTTAAGGAAGTAAACATTATAGAGAACCATGATGCAAAGGAGAGTCAAAAGCAAACCTCAACCAGCCATTCATCAATAAGTACCAAAAAAAAAAACCCTCAAGTTGCATATGAATTAGACGCGAGGATTTTAGTTGATCTAGATTGTGTTCAATTTTTTTTGGAACATGTATATATTCAGAACCGCGAGCTTTGGCTAAATATTGAAAGGGGAAAGAATCGAGAGTACTAAGAATCTATCAAATTTGTCTCTGACAATACTGCAGGAAAGACCATTTGAAATTGAAAACCCTCACCAATAAAAGAGGGCAAAGACATTCTAAAGGATGGCTCCAAAGCACCCTGTCAGATAAGGATCCAAGTAACACGCAAAAACTTAGCTGAAATTGAGACAATCTTGTCCCATGAATAGTTGCAACTCAATGGTGGATCATGAAACATTGAGGTCATGCCATGCGAGTAATCATGCTACCACTCATTTTAACCTTTTACTCAATACAGCACTTTCTGTTAACTCTAATGATTCGATTATTTGCTCACTTTCACATATTGGAATGGAAAAACCAACCTTTAGACGACGCTGATCTTGAATTACTTGTTTAGCACGGGCCCTAACTTCTTCGGGATCAATCTTAGATTGGGGACGCACCACAAAATCCAATGGTGTTGCTTCTGGCCTGGATGCATGCTGTCTGTCTGATGACTGACTAGACTTCCGTTCCCTGAATTTTTTATTGATGTAAATTGAAGATTAGAATTGAGAAAACTAGGGTGCAGAAAAAAATCGCAGGCACAAGTAATCATCCATGTAAGGAGTGTGATCTTCTGTCACATCTTACCGTGAAATATCCAAATCAAGATCTCCATCCCTAGAAGCCATTCCAGCAGAATTATTCAATGGCCTGAGATTCAAACAAATTTACCACAGGGAAAATTTTTAGGCATAGACACATGAAATTCAAGCACATATACAAACATCCAACAGTAATAAATGTTAGCAGTGTTTGAAAAGAGAAATACCTTCTCACCGGTGGCCTTCTGAAGGCCCGATCATCTTCAACATTTCTCATGTCCTCAAACCTTGTACTCTTATTAAATATTGGCCGACTCTATATTATTAATTGCAGAAATGCAAGAAAATGTCATTACTTCAGATACAAATCTTCTTTGTGCACATATTTTCCAATTAATGAAAAAGATATTTTACCGCAAAATAATACCAATAAGGAAAAATATTCAAGTTTGGTTTAATTTTATTATATACTTGAGATCAACACCTGACAAGTCAATTAAATATAACAGAAAAGAGGCATTTCAAACAAATAGGAAAAGAGATCACCAATGAATGAAACCTAAAAGGAGTGAAACTATCCATGAGTGCCAGTCTAATATGATTTTCTAGTAAATGCATGCGCTAGGTTTTGCACTAAAAAAATATTGAGAGGTGGCAGTTATTAGACAAATAAAAATCATGAGATGAAAAGAGATTGCATTACCCATTTATCAACCAAGTCCTTAGCAAGTTTTCTGTTGGATGTGGTTTCCTCATCAGATTTTGATAAAAACATAATAACCTGCCAGAGTATTAAATCAGTCTGAGTTTGGTTCAGTTCCAATAGAAACAGCAAGTTCGTTACCATCACATGAGGAGATCCCTAACCTTTCCAAGACCACTTTTTTTCAATTGTTCTCTTCTATCATACTGCTCCAGATCAATTGGAAACTGCACGAGAGAAAAAAAAAAAGTTTCAGGCTCCACACAACAAGAAGTACTAAATGGGGGAGGATGGTTGAAAACCCCAGCATACATCAGTCAAAATCTTCAAAATTGCAGCACGGATATTTATATTGGGTAAACTTCCATCTGGAAGGGGTTCTAGCCAATTTTTTAACAATGTTAGTACTCCATGATCTATGAACTCTTGTTGGAGCTGCTTCCTGCACCAGGAGACAACAATAAATTAACTGTAAATTCCAAGGGAACAAAAACAAGATTGTGTAAAGCCAGCTTACTTTGAGAGAACCTCGGTAAGAAGAGGCAACTTCTTGAGTTTATTAACAGCAGGCTTCCCCTGTCTATTAAGGTCTGCATCTTCTTCAGCAGTGACCTCAAGCTCAGCCATGACATTCTCAACTAATAGTGCAATTTCTGCAGGACTTTTCTCATTCTTCTTCCTTTTCTTACCCATCTTGAACATATCCTTGATTTCGTCATCCTCTTCACCTTCCTCTGCCTGGAAAGAAACGGAATAATAAACCCAATAACATAAAAGCTAGGAAGCTCCATATACAGCATGTCAACCGGCAAACATAGATATTATTATAGAGATGAAAGTTGATTAATAGTGCAACATCAATTATGGGACTCTGCAACGAGACAAGCAAAGTCTCCAAACAGCAATTCAAAGCAATAAAGCGTAAAAAAAATACTGAACAAGCCAGGAGCTTCATCAATAAAACAGTCCATGACAGCCTACAATTACAAGTGAGAGTCAGG